TGCCATAAACCCTACTCATAAGGCTTCTACAGCCCCATAACCCCTGATCTGTGAGAAAGCTAAGTTTTTAAAGACTTCCAGGTCATCATCAGATGCTAGATTCTGATTGGAAAAAAGGGAATGGATTATTAGATATCACAGAAAGATTGTGTATTAGAAATCTGTTTTAGGAAACATTATTTGAATTTGTCTTCCTGATAATTCTGTCTATTTTAATCTTAATATTTGCATTATGCTAGCATGAATAGGACGTAGTATTTTAAAATTTTAAAAGATCCGGGAAAATGCTTCTAAAATGATTAGTTGTAGAATTACTTCCTTATGAAAAATGATTATAATATTTGTAGTTGATTTGTTTATAATGACTAAGTATGGAACATAATACAAATATCTGAAATTTACATAGTATAGTAAAAAAATTAGGAAGATCTGTTATATTATTTCCTCTTTTAAACCTGTGAGGCCAATGGAATTGAGGAAGAAGGAATATAGAGTGAAATATTCATTCAACATATTAAAATATGGATTTCACTACAATAGACTAACTGGAAAAGGACTAGGATATTTTTTAAGAAAGATGAAACCATTATGGCTATAAGCCAAGATGGCTAAATATTGTCTCTAGAATCATAGAAAGGATGGCTCAAAATATCACTTTGTTGAACAGTGAAAGTAGGAGACAGTGAGACGATTCAACTCAATATTAGTAGGCTTCCCATTGAAATATAGTTGGCCACTTCAGGGAAACAGGATTTTCTGTTGTATTCATCAGGTTTATAAATGAAAACCACAATTACTCTCAAAAGAATTTAACAATGGCCTGGCTGTATCAGATTGCAATTATAAATGTCTCAACCAAGTTGTACAAATAATTGAACAGGCACTTTGGTGAATGGGTGTATGTAAGGGAAGATGGATTTATTGATTTGTACACTGCTAAGTGAATGTGCAAAAAAAGGGGGGAAACAGTGGTGGGAGGTGAAAGAAACCCTATCTGTTGGTGTAATTATTATTTTTGAATGGCGAATACCTAAAAGGCAGCTTTCAGCTGCTACCACATCTCAAATCACTGGCATGTGCTATTATCAAACTTTATTGAAACCAGCAGGGCAGTATTAATCATGGTTTATAGATAGCTCTACCGTTTATCTTACTTTTCAGCTCCCACACTGTTGGTCTCATTTGTTTTTTTTTTCTTTTTTTCTTTTTTTTACATCTATGACATATTGTTATTTACATGTTCATATTCATGGCATGTCATCAGAGTTGACTGTCTTGTCTTGGTGTCTTTACTATTCATGCTGTGTTTTGCTTTTTTGGAACTCTTGCCTTTAATTCCTCCATACTCCACAGAAAGGTATAATATGAATTTCAGTCATTTGCCTAAGTGCCATCTTTTTCTCAGTAGTTGCTTACACTTTTCTGGATTGATATGCTGCTATTACTGACATGTGCCTATTACAAAAGGACCTCTGTCATAGCAACCAATAAGATATTGCTAACCTCTGAACTTTGTTTGCTGAAAGGAATTTGGTTTGCTGCTCACTTTGAATTCTATATATAAGTTAGTAAACCAGCAGCTGCCCAGCAAAGATATTTAAGGAATACTTCACTGTAGTATGTGGGGGGGGGGGAGAAAACGCTTCTCTTGCTCTACCCTATACATTTGACTCTTAGTTCTTTGTGTTTGCATGAAGGAAACACTAGTTGTCTTGCAATGTATCACCAAGAACATTAAGGCTGACTTCCAGTTTTGAAATTGCTCCTATAGAAGAAATAAATGCTATGGCACTCCACATTCTGCTTTCACAGGGAGTTAAGCCATATAATTTGCTCCTTTGACATAGAAGAAGAGAAAGCAGAAGCTCATCTTCAGAGAATGTATGGAACTACTATTTTAAAAATATTTATTTTGGTCAATAGATGTATTTTTTTCCAGATACTATACTTGCATTGATATAACCTGCAGTGTGTCAAAATTCTGTGTTAAAACTTATTAGTGGAAGTCTAAGATACAGTTATATAGGAGTATAATTATGCTTATATAACAGGGTTTCCCAAACCTGGACCATGGACCAGCACCGGTCCATGGTCCACCGGGAACCAGGCTGCGCAAGTGAGCAAAGCCCCGTTCACGCACATGTGGGATTCAGGCAGAGCACAAAACCATGCCCCCCCCCATCCACAGAAGAACCACCTCTATGGAACTGGTCCCTGGTACTCAGAAGGTTGGGGGCCACTGCTATATAATATAGTTACAATGTTTACTTTTAATCTTATGCCATTCGAAGTATCTCTTCATAGAAGTCATTTCATTTTGGTTGACTCCAGTGATCTCTTGTTGATACTGTTAGCAGAAGATTCAGATAAGCTTTCCAGAACATTTGCATTCTTGCAAGGATGGAAAACGTGGAACTGCCGAATGCATCCTTTTAGATTGCTCAGTGGGCTCCCTTTATCTCTAGACCAGGGGTTTTCAAACATTTTCATACTACAGAACCGGCTATTAAAAACAATTCTTAGATCAAGAAGCACGACTCTAGTGATAGAAATTTGGCTGTGTTGAAATGAACTTTTAATTCCCCCCCCCCTTGATTTTCACAGAGCCCCATCAGGTTCTCATCGATATGAAAAGACCTGCTATACTAGACTACTAGGCTACATAGATCAATTCTACATTTATCTTTTGCTTATTACTTTCCATCATGGAACCCATCCATAACTTACAATTTTGCCAAATTCTGTTTGGCAGCTTGTAAAATTCAGCAGGAATTGACCTGAAGGGGGAAAAAGCCTGATTGATTTGATTTTCCTTGCTTATATAAGTAGCATGCATCACTCTTGACTTTGAAAGGGTGTTCAATCCTTTCTTTGAGAAAATGGTTAATTATGTTATGGGGTTATGCTTTGATGTCTAAAATAACTTCATATAAGAAAAGTAAATAGTTTAGTTCAATTTTAACTGGAAGGCATTTTTAGATTATAATTTATTTTATGGATTTGTACTACTTCCTAAATTTGGGTTTTTAAATGTTTAGAATTATATTTCAGTTGAGTTAGAAAATAGATTCTAGTATTGACCTAATTTATTATAGTTCATAATAATAGTTAGTGATTTATACTGTGTTAATCAGCACTGCCTGACTTGATTTTCCTTGCCTCACACCTTCTAATTATTCACTTCCTTTCTTCCCACACATATGAAGATGCTATACTGCAGTCAACACTCATGATTGGTAACCATTGTGAAAAAGTATTAGCTGGAAAACTATGATGCCATGCTATTATTGGATAGTGCTGTGACAATTTATATTCAGGACAAATGAAAACTTGATAGCCAGATCTTCTTTCTTAGCAGTTTAGAACTTAAAAAAACAACAACAGCCAAATATACAGAATCTGTACTGATAACATGGAAGATGGGATATTATTTTCTTTTTTTGTGCAAAGTTAGAACTCCTACCTCATGAGACAAGTCACTGACTAAATGATGATGTTTTCATTTTCCTATTGGTCAGCTGGTGGGAGCTCTGATTGGCCAATGGTGTTCTCTGCTGCTCTGTGTTCCAAGAGCAACAGGAGCAGCATTGATTAGGCAGTGATCTTCAAAACATTCTGAAGGAATTGAGTGGAAGCAATGTTATGAGGAAATTCCATTTTGGCCTTTCTGATAACCTTGATGCCATTGCCTGAGCTGTTAGATTTGCCATAGGAGGCCTGTAAAAGCCTTCCAAATGAACCAGCCAGTGTTTGTTTGAATGGCATCACTCTCAATTGCCTGTGTCTTAAATCCAGCAAGCCCTCTGACTACATACAATAGATCAGGGGTGTCAAACTCACAAGTCACGTGACATGTCGCGACATATCATGACTTTTCCCCCATTGCCGGCAATGGGGTGGGTGCGGTTTCTTTGTGACACATCCGGCCCATGGGCCGGCAGTTTGACACCCCTGCAATAGATGGATGGGTATTTCTATTTTATGTTACCCTGTTTAGCCAAGTTTGCCAACTCCTACAGGAGCTATCCATCCATCCATTTGATTTCTAATATACAGAGTATTAGGATTCTTTCCTTACTAAATCTGGGTTTGCACCTATCCAAGGATGTGTCTAGAAAATCGATAGGAATCCTGTCTTCAGTGAACTTGTGTTTTATATGAATGCTCTTCTATCTGCAATGCCTTAGTTGAGTTTTAAGGGATGATACAGTATATGGAATTTGTGGCTTTCTTCAAGATCATTACAGTATTGCATTCCCTGTGTACCTCATTAGTGGCCATGCAAGCAAGATCTGCTGAAAATTGTAGTTTGTATCTTGGATCTAATAGGTAGTGTCTATTTATGAACTCTTTATTTTCATTCTTTCATTCAGTTAGTCTCTTTTTACTGCAGAGGCAGTATCAGAATAACTTGATTTGATGCTTCAGAATAATTGAGACAGCTGCTGGATTAGAGATAACGGGCTCCTTTTGAATCAGAATTCTGAGTACCATCCAATTAAATTGCATTACATAGCAAAGTACATAGCAATGAGCATTGCACTTTGTGTGTGTGGCTTGGTGGGGAGATCTTGGAAATCTAGAAACTTCAGTACCATAGACAGTAAATGAGAATTTTCTTTTGGATGATATACAAATCCACAATTTATTAAATAAAAATCCAATGGTGAAGTGGTGCATGTTTCTTTCAGATCTGAAATATCAGGCTGTTAAGCTCTGCCCATCACTTTCAGAAAAACTGCCAGCCCAGTTGTCTCTTTTTGAGATGGCAGTGACCGTCCTCAGCTGTCTCAGGAAGAATGGTTCAGGAGAAAATATTCAGCCGGGTGACTCTTGGTGTTTAACACATTTGTTTTGATTGGACAATCACAACTCTAGGCTGTTTGATTTAGTTGCAACAAGTGCTTTGGATAACCACACCAGATGTCTTTAAAACAGATTTGGTTTCTGTGTAGGTGTGCATGCATGTATTTTCAAATTATTTTTCTTTTCATTTTTAGCAAATGAGAAGATTGAAGATATCAATGGCTGTCCAAAGAACAGATCTCAAATGGTAAGATTTTTCTTTGTTCTTTAATTCAATTTCCCCCCCTTTTTTTTGCTGATGGGAAGCAAATGGATTGATGGATAAAAGAGATGTAGCATGATTGTGCTGTTTTCCTAAATTATAGATATACTCATGAAGAAATTAGTTTAGGCTCAGTGGAATTTTGTTCTAAATCAAGCTATTTAGCACTTAATAAATCATATTCCTTTCTTAAACCACCTTCAAAGATATCCAAACAACAACAACAAAAATAGCAACTGTCAATTTATAGTTGCTTCTACTGTTTTTTTTGGCAAGGAACAAAATAGCTCCAATTCCTGCCAGTTTGTGGGTTTATTATAATATCTTCTAAATTCTACATCTGCTAAATTCATGCAATCATCTACATAAATAGAGATAGAAATGTGGATATAGATGTAGACAGAGATACAGACATAGATATAAAATATGTTCATAATATTGACATGTCGCAATATTAAAAGCAGCACTAATTCAGCTTTTATGTATACTATTTAATATTAAAGAGGTGTAAGTACAAGCTATGACGTTTAGAAATTTATGGTAAATGGATAAGTAGAGCACAATGTTTCACAACTATCAAAATGCAATAATAAAAAAGATACAGTTTAGCAAATTATCATTTTATTAACTCTGCATATTTTGAGAACTTTTGTAAATTTGCTTTGGATTAAATCCTATTTGACTTAAAATAACATATGCCTGAGCATACCGCATAAGCATAGAACTGCAATTTAAAGCATTCATAAACTGACTGCAATTTAAAGCAAGCAATGTCAGGACTGCATATGTTGCAATCTAACACGTCCAAGTGGCCACAGAAGGCATTTTAGTTAAAAATAGCATGGAAATATTGCATACAAGTTCCGCGAAAGCTGCAGGTATCATTTCTAAAAAGTTTTTTTTAAAAAAAAGGCCAAATGCACAACCCTTGAAATGTGTATTGCATACACATAATCCAGATTTATTTTACCCTAGTGTGAGTGCATGCTGATATGATCAAGATCAGGGCTGTGAGGCACAGATTTGTGTTTTATCAAACAACATATGGTTTTTATTCAGAAGTTGTGCTGAGAACATCACATCTTCTGCCAAATCACCCACAATGGTGTTCTACCTAAAGGAAACAATGCATATTCTCAGTGGCTTCAACTAATGGTTTCACCGTCTTAGCAATTTTTGCCTTAACTGTAGTGCAATGAAAGATGGCAATGTAATTTAAAACATGTGTGTTATCTCACATGCACACATAAAGAAAGAAGGTAGCACAATGCAATTGTTATCAATATCGAATAGTTTGAATAAATGATCCTGCATTAGAAGGGGGAGATCAACATTTGGCCAAAAAGAAGCTGAAGGAACTAGTGAGACATCCAGCTAGCAATATCAGACACACAGCAAGAAATATAGTCTTGGCAAAGAAACCACAAGTTTATCTTATCATTAGAACAGGAAATAATTGTGGCAGCTGTATGGTGCTTGTGGTGAACTGGTGAACCTAAATTGTTCTGTGTTGAGCTTAGATGTTCTGAAAGGTGCCTTCGGCTTCTCTATGGCTTCTCATTTCCACTTGGATTTATTTGCTTTAATTTCATCTTGGATGTTTTGAAATGTAACACGGAAATGATTTCAAGAGCTAGCATGAATAAATGCAGCCAGCTGGGTTAACTTTTGAAACATACTTTCTGAGGAGAATTTCCAATTGGAGAGTAAAAGCCATCTTAACTCCATGGTTTTAGCTGACTTTGAAAGTTGTTGGTAACCTAAGAAATTGCACACACATACATATGTGCACATATGGTCTTAGTCATTTTTGCACTGTAAATTCCATCTAAAAATAGTTTTAGAAATTACTTTGTTAATATATTTTAAATATTGGTATATTACAGTGATGGCAAACCTTTTAGAGACCGAGTGCCCAAACTGCAACCCAAAATCTACTTATTTATCACTGGGTGCCAGGTGGGTGTGGCCCACTGGGTGGGGGTGGCTGTGGTGGTCGTGGCAGACTGGGTGAGTGTGGCCAAGGTGGGCGTGGTCACCTCGATGTTGCTTATGGGGAGGGATGCCTGTGGGGGCTGGGCAAAGTTGGGGAAGATCCAGGGGGTCTCTGGCAGGTGGGGTGGCGGGCAGGAGGCTCATCCTGCAGGGTGAGGTGAGGCAGGGCGGGGCAGGGATGCCATTGTCGCAGGGCAAGGCGAGGCAGGGGCCGGGGCGGCTGCTGCCTGACATAATCGGCCCCTGCACACAGAGATCAGCAAGCGCATGGGGCTGACTGTCCGTCAGCAGCCACAGCCTGCTGGCCCCTCAACCGGCGCACTCTGGGGCTCTGCAGCCCACACCAGCAGTTCAGAGAAGCCGCTTCTGAACTGGAAGGCCAGCCAACAGCTGAGGAAGCAATGCAGTGGGTTGTGCCCGGGAAAAGGAGAGCATGCGAGGCCAGGAGGGATGGGACAAGGGGGAGGGAAACCAGCCATGCTGGGATGCATCCTACCATGTGGGACCTTAGTGAGTTAGCAGGCAGCTGGTTGAAGAGGGACAGTTGCCATCTCTGGGGCACGGCGCGCATGTCCACAGAGAGGTCTCTGAGTGCCGCCTCTGGCACGCGTGCCATAGGTTCGCCACCACTAGTATATTATAAGATAATGCACTATTAATAGATGTACACCGAGCAGGTCATTTGGAAATACAGTATTAAAAGCAACTAATCATCAATAGTGTAAAAATCTCGGAATCAGGCCACAACAAAAGTATGTTCAAATAAGAGTATTTTAATAATCCTTTTCAATGCTGGGAGAGAAAGTGCTAAGTGATCCCTCTGAAGGAAGGAATTTTGCACTGAGAAGATACTGAAAATCAGTTCTGCATCTTGCCCATGGCAAGATCAGAGAATCGTAATCTGATAAATTCTGAATAGGCAGACAAAGTTATATGACTATCATTTGGATAGAGAAACTATGAATTTTGGTAAAAGGTCATCATTTATGAATTGAACAAATCAGGAACAATTGATGGTTAAAATAATAATTGAATTGCATCTACAATACAAAGTTTCCCTGAGCATTCTATCAGCAATGAACTGGACCAGTTGAAATGGGGCTTCATTTATTTGCATCTATATATTTAGTTCAGTGGGATTCATTTCTGAATAAATTCACAAAAACTGATTCTTCAAATCATAATGCTGCAGATATTTATTTCATTGAGGACATATATAAATACTGTCAGAGGTCTTTATTGTACTCTTTTGAAAATGCAGCTAAATAATCTTTGAAAAGAAGAGCTATGCTTGAAACATTGACTGAGTTCATAGTGATTCCATTTTGAAGCCAAATGCAGATTGTTTGATTTTAGCTTAATAAGAACCCAGCCATGGTAGATTATAGTTTGGTATTATATGTAAAGTAAAACTACCAGACCTGGTCTGCAAAAGGTTGGAAAACCACTAGATGGCAACAATGTTACAGATTTCTATATATTTGTAGGACCAGTACTATTTCTTGGTCTCCAGATTATTACAGACCAGGTTTGATAATTCAACAAATTATAGTTCAACAAATGCTGGTAGATAAATGTACGTTACAGATGCTGAATCAAAATAATACCTATTTCGTACACTGTCAAAAGATATACACTCTGCTGAGAGTCTGACTTTTAAATTGGTGGTATGAAGCTGTTTTTTGTGAGCTAATCTCAGTTTTGTTGGAAAGCCATCCTTTTAAAATGTTATTAAAAATTTACTTGAATGTTCACTTGGTTATTTGATTTTTTAAAATTAAATACTATTCAACACCAGTACTTTTAGTCTATCTTATTACCATTTTTTTTATTTTTGGTTTTCAAGCAAAATTATCATTGTAAATAAACAAATGTCATCTCAGCTATTATAATTATCAGGTAAAACATTCAGCACAGATTAGAATGCTGGGGTGAAGTGCCTGGAATCTGATGAAATTCTCTTCTACTGTTAATGATGTTTGCTATCTTAAGGGGTAACAATTATCTATAGAATTATCTGACTATACATCATCATATTTCTACAGATGCTTAAGAATTCATTTAAAAATTTCAATAAATATGGGTTGAACTATTCTTAAGTGTAAATTGTGACATGTAATAGGTATAAAATTGGATGGAAAAAGTGAAATATTTTCCTAGAAAAGACTTAGGACACATGCATATTTCTTCTACATGCTTTTTAATTCATAATTTTTAATTCAACAACTGTGCGGCTTCCAACACCCAAATTGTTTTTGCTTCAAGTTTGGAGGTCTTTTTTGGCTGCAGTAGACTTCAACAATAATGCAAAAAGAATCTTTAAGACGTGCACGTGTGAGGTAAAATCTTCAGCAGGTATGTGGGTTGCACTGTTGTGACTTTCACCTTGTTTTTGATAAAGCAACAGATCAACTACCATTTCTGTGACTTACAATCTCAACCTATGGGTATATAAAGTAAAGAACCCCATGGAATCACAAAAGAGAATTAACAGTCATACTATATGCAAAATCTCTAACTGCTTCATTTTCTGACAAAGATGAAGGTTACACTTCTTTGTCATTTCAAGAGAACTACAAATAATAGTGCTTTATGTTTATACACGTAGGACAGTGTTTAAGAATTCAGAGTTGATGCTTTACTTCAGTGGCCCCCAACTTTTTGGGGACCAAGGACCAGTCCCGAGGAGAGAAGTTTTTCTCCGGACTGGTAGACATGGTTTCGTGTGCTGCCTGCATCCCGCAGATGGGGTTTCACTTGTTTGTGTGGCCCAGTTTCTGGTGTGCCATGGACTGGTACCAGTCCACGGACCTCTGCTTTACTTTATGCAGTATAATAACAGAAACCTAGATATGACCATTGGTGTTCTTCAGCAATCTACAGTGAGATGGCTGGTAAATATCCTCCCTGCATTGGAAACTTCATTTAATAGCAAAGCTGTTTATACAAAACCATTCAATTCTTTGAACAAAGCTGCTCTTATTTATTTA